TAATAATAAAATAAATAATAAAATACAATATCAGAATAATAAACTAATAAAATAATAAACTGTTCTATAACAATACTTTTTTTGAAGAATATAATATTTTTAGATACTTTACAACTCTAGGCTCATTATATTTCTTAATTAACTGTTTCCATTTTTGTTCAAAAACTTCCAGAACAAGAGAATTTCTAGCAGTGTAAAAATCTTGAACAAACTCCTGATACTGTTGACCCAACTTAGTCTCGAGATTTCAAGGAAGGTTTTGTAATATATGGAATATACAATGCATGGCATAAGATTGTTTATACTCCTCAGAGATCGCAAGATCCAAAGCCAGATCAGCATCAGTCATAATAACAGCAGGTACATAGCCTCTAGTGGTCTGTTTTGTCTGACGTAAAACCCACTGATACGAATCTGCTGACTCATCGTTCATAAGTGCACATCCAACTAGTCGGAAAGACCCATGATTGTCAACACATAAAAAAAGTGAGAGGGCCATATAATATCGGTTTGTTTTTGCGGTATTATCACTAAGTATAATATCACAATACTCTATCCAAAGGATGATCTGATCGGGAGATATCTAAAATAGCTTTTGAAGGCTATGTGATTCTCGGTTCCACTCAATTGCAACATACCATCGAGGATCTTCATTTTTTCTTCTTACTAATTCTTTGTACAATGATGCAGCATTATTTAACATATCCTTTCGTTTTCTACTATAATATTTTGTTGTTGCTTTATGAATTTCAGAAAGGTAAACTTCGTGGTCAGAAAATTCTTTTCGTAAAGCTCTCTGAATTTGTAGTAGCTTTAACTTAACAGTATTTACATAAAATTCTACCCTATCATACGTTTCTTGGGTAAGTTCACTATCATTAAAAAATTTTGTTCTATAAGGGACAAGTCATGATTATGGCTATTGTCTAAAGTGGTAATATAAATATTTCTATTAGGATTATTCTTCTGCGGTTGTGACAAATTTACATACCATGGACATTTGATATATTTTGTGCTTGTTTCTTTAGTCAATTGCATGTTTTTAGATTTATATTCGCCGCTGTGTTCACACAACATTGATCTTTTTTGTATAGTTCCATTAGAAGTCTTTTTAACCCATCCTTTCTTTAGCTTAAACCCTTCATATTGAGAATATAGTTTTAACGTGTCAAATGCTTCTTCCCAACTTTTAAATACCATTTCTTCATATAACTTCTCTTTAGAACAGTCCAATCTGACATCTTTATTTTCTTGAACAACAACTACTGAATCATACGTTGGTCTATTAAATTCAAGATCATATATCAGCTCATCAGACTCAAGACCATGTATTGATTCACCAAACTCAAGATTACTGAGGTCTTTAAAATTGGATGTACTTTCATTATGCGCATCTATTTTTTGGATTAAAAGATGTAAGTATAAGGAATAAGATACTATTGCAAATCCTCTAGCATTACCAACCTAAAAAACTTCGCTAAGCGAAATTTTTCTAGGTTGGCAATGCTAGAGTCATAATCAATATATTCGGATTAAATTAAGAGGTTTAAATATTACCTCATTTTTAAAACTCACATTGTTTTGTTATTATGCTTTGCTCGTCACTATTCTTTGCTATTACTGGTTTTTATTGCAATTGCTAGGATTGTGTTTTTATTACTAGATAGCAGAGAGAATTTATTTTACTGTCAGGAATATTTTTGTTCTGGTTATCGGCTATATTTTGTAAGCGTATTTGATTCAAAATTAAGGGTACTAAATTAAAAGTATAAGCTAAAAGTAGCGGTAACAAGTTAAAGGTAGTAAGTTAGTTAAAGGTAGTAAGTTAGTTAAAGGTAGTAAGTAAGTTAAAGGTAGTAAGTAAGTCAAAGGTAGTAAGTTAAAGGTAGTAAGTTAAAGGTAGTAAGTTAAAGATAGTATATAAGTAAATTAAAGGTAGTAAATTAAAGGTAGTGACAGTAAGTTGGCTAATTCTTACCAAGTTTATTAAAGCTAAAGAGTGTTAAAGAGTAGTAAGTTAAAGGTAATACTGTTAAGTTAAATAAAGATCTTTTATTAATATTAGGCGTGAAAAATACCAGTTAGAAGCTCTTTGTTTGTTGTCACTTTTGCTAAATAAAAACAACAGATATGCGAGATATAAAGATAAAAACTCAAATAAAAAAATTTGGGGGTACAAAAAAAAAAAATTCCGAGATCCTGCGGTTATGTGTTGGCATATTGCAAAAATATCTAGTGATCTGGGGGATGTATGACCGTGCAGATGCACAAAAAACATTTTCCCTTATAAAAATCAATATTTAAGATTTTATTTAAAAATTTAATTTTAAAAAAATAAATACAAAGAAATTTGTTTATATTACAATCTAAAAAATAATAATTTAAAATTTTTATTAATAAATATTAGATAAATTTTGCTATTTTTTTTTTTAACTTACACAAAACAAACTCTAAAAAACTTTAAAACAAAAATAACTATAACTTCTTGAAATACTAAGCAAACCTACTTCAGTACTCTAAGTAAACTTGCTCTGCTATTTATTTTATATATATCACAGAAGTTTTAAAATATTAACTTGTAAACTTACTATATTATTCACAAAAATCTTCTAAAAATACAAAAATTTACAAATTTAAAGTTTTCTTAAAATTATATTAAGTCAACTACTTACACTCCTTA